CGGATACTCACCGGTATACCGGTGAGAATGAATTTCGCATCCGTCGCGGCCGATTCGCGATACGTGTCGGCCTGAATCCGATACGTGAGCGATACAGTTCTAATACACATTTGCCATCACTGGTATGGCTGAAATTAGAGTAAAGAACATGCAAATCTAAGCATCTTTTTCTGGGCTGTGTGGAGTTAACTTTAGTCTTCAACCTTCAACTTAAGGAGACAACAATCTGTAAATAAAAACCCTCAATCAGACCAAACCCAAATCCTTAATCAAACCCAAACCCATCTCCCTACGACATCGATCTTGTAAAGTGTTGCGGAGAGAAGCATGGAATCGATCATTAATGCAGGCCCGACTTTGCCTAAGACCAGCTAAGCCACCGTTTTCAAGCTTCTTCAAAGAAGGTTTATCTCCCTCAGTTGCAACTTGCAAGTTGTAAGTCGTGCTCTGCTTTGTTGTTGTTGTTCTGTTTCTAATTTTTTATTTTTTTATTTTTCTGTTTTTCTATTTCGTAAAGCCACTGTTATGCATCTATAAAAGATAGAGAGAGAGGGAGGGAGAGAGAGAGAGAGAGAGAGGGAATAGGAATTTATGGTTATATTATGATATGGGAGATTGAAATGGATAAGAAGAGAGAGGTACTCAGGTAGGTGCTTGGGTGGATTGTAAATGTTTAGGTAGGTACTCAGGTAGGTGCTCGTGCTTGTGTAGAGTGTATATTGTGGGGATATATTTTTTGAGTACTAACACATGGCAAGGTGACGCCGATGTTTTAGCCGAGGTTCCACGTGTCCTGGTCGTGATGCCGAGATGATCTCGGCGTGGCCGAGGTTATCTCCGAAGATATCAGAATCCGAGATAAGTGGATAAGGCACAAGAGTCCTAGGATGATGAGGGAACTCAACTTGGATAAGGATAAAGCTCTTAGGAAGTTTATCTCTATCTATTGAAGAGCCCTGGATAAACATTGAGCAAAGTCCATTGAAGCTAGGCTTCTGTTGGGACAAGGATTGAGTTAACTATAAAAGAGAGGCACCCCCGATAAGGTATGCAATTTATATTCAGAATAGTGAGTTTTAGCACGATTGATTATCTTTGAGAGATACTTGGTTATTGACTTGATCGTCGGAGTACCCCCGGGTGGACGAACCACTGCCGAAGTCTTTTCTTTCTGTTGCAGGTCATTCAAGCGCCGTCTATTCTGCCAGTGTCTTCCAGTTGAATACTGAGTTGGCAATGTGGTCAGAAAATCACTCACACAATTTGGCGCCGTCTGTGGGAATCAAAGGAGAATAGATGGCCAGCAACGAATAGAAGGAAAAGATTGAGGACGACACTCCCGCTGAGAGTGGCAGACTTATCGACCTTGACGTTGAAGGAGACAACCGTAACACAGAAACTCGTGACCAGAATCACAGCAAGAAAGACGCCGGCCAGGATGGTGACGTACCAAAAAAGCCAGATCGAAGTGGATACTACAATGAGGGTGACCTCCAGGTATGGAAGGATAGATGTCTGCGGAGGGATGAAGAGGTAAAAGAGATGGCAAACAAATTGGCAGACCTACAGTCGGTCGTCAATTTCATGATGCAAAATAACGTCATGAAGCCACCATTCCCGCTGCAGGACACGCCGATTCCAGCGGCCAATGCCCAGAAGGGAGGGCAGAAACCAATCCCAATAGCCCCTCAGCACACCAGAAGCGAAAAACACTCTCACTGGCCTTCCAGGGAGGTCGGGCGAGGAGAGTCGAGGAGAGAAGAGTCACGAAGGACACATCACACTAAAGAGACAGACCCCAGAGAACATTGCCATGTTCAAAGGAAGGAG